CTTTTCCCCAACCCTCCCTGGAGGCCTCTGTTTCCTGCAGCTCAATTGTCACCTCCCAAAGCCTAGCTAAGGCCTTGGAAGGGAGGGCATCTGTCCATCTGCCTACCACTCAGGACGTCGGGGCTGATGTAGGCCGGGCTCCCACGCTGGTCCTTCAGCAGGTCGTCTTCGCTCACCAAGTGCTTCCCCAGGCAGAAGTTGGTGATGGTGATCCTGTGGGTTCTGCAATGAAGGGAAGGACAGGAGGAGTAAGAGAAGGGGAAAGATGGGCGTACCAACACCAAAGGGTATCCTCTGCAGCAGAGGCGGCCCTAGGTAATTTTCAATGGTAAGCAAACAGTATTTTGCCCCCCACCCCAACCAATCACTGATATATATGTTCTGTTCGTCATGGAAGTTCTGTGTGCCATATTTGTTTCAATTCCATCATTGGTGGAGTTCAGAATGCTCTTTGATTTTAGGTGAACTATACATCCCAGTAACTACAACTTGCATATGTCAAGTTCTATTTTCCCCCAAGAGCGCCTCAAGAGCACCCCTGGGCAAAATCAACTATACTGCAAAGGCTTACTTTGTGTAATGGTTGAGCTGCCCCTGCTCTGCAGTAAACATGATGCAGTTCGAGAGGCACTTCATCTTTTGCATGTTGGCTTTATTTGCTTACTAGAGAATTTCCTGACAACAGGAGCATGGATTCTCTTTTCCTTTAGGGTTCCTTCCAGTTCCAATGATTCTATGTGTTGGGGAATCTGAGCTGTTAGGCTCAAAAATAACCCTCAGTTGGGGTGATTCCACCATAAATAAAGCAAGAGTACCAGAAGTAAATCAGCAGAAACTTCCACAAAAATAACTTGAAATAACAGCATCACAGGAACTTAGAGCTGGAAGGGAACCCCAAGAGCCATCTAGTCCAACCCCACCCTGAGTCTATCAGTTTCTTGGAAGTGCTTGTACAACAAATAAGTTTTTCCTAATGTTGCGACAACACTATGTAACATGATTTTTGTTCCTGTCATTTCCTAATTGATTCTATCATAAAAACATGGCGAAAGTTTATTAAAATGCCAAAACCTTGTTTCTGCATGACGTCCTGCAGAACATTTTGCTATGGTTTTTCAATGAATCTTTTATGGAGTCGCAACCAATTCAACAGTTTGTGGCAACCACAAAAACGAAGTCTCAAAGTAAGTACCCACAGAATTAAACAGGAAACAACACTTTCAAACCAGGAATGGATTTTTTTCCAAATTTTGTTACAGTGTAATTGGAATCCATGGTGAATATTAAAATAGGTGACCAGGAGTGTTGCATTGGAACTTCGGCTCCTCCAAAAATGGCATTGCCATGACACTCTGCTGCCTTCCAGAAGAGCTGAAAACCAGGCAGAATGGCCTTAAGGGATCCCAGAGTGTCCCCGATCCTTTCCCAAAAGTTTGAAAGAACGGAAAGGTCCTCAGCCCTGCAAATAGCCGGCACACAATGGCTCCCTTGTGAAGCCTCGAGGCATAAATATCCTCTACTTCCTTTGCTGGCAGCAGCATCTGTCTCTCTTCTTCTTTTCCTTCTTCCTCCCCTCTCCCCTCAGAGACCCACAGGAACGCATGATGTCCAAGGCGCCCAGCTGCAGAGCGGATGAAGGGCCTTTTGCCGTCAGCCAAAGCCTGACTCCCTTCTGCAATTGGGAGGGGGGGCGGAAGGAGCAGCAAATGAACCGTAGCCAATGGAGAGGGGAAGGGCCTCAGGGCTGAACTGGATGTCCTTTGGGGTCTCTTCCAACTCTAGGATTCTGTTATCCTAAAATTCATTATATCACATTGTTACTGGGCATGAAGCTTGAAGGGGGGACTGGGTGGCTGTCTCCCCAAGGCAGGCACCCCAATGACAAAGCCACCGGAATGGTGTAGCCGCCAGGGGCAAGTGTCTGACCCACACCTGTTCTGCTCCCAAGTGCTTCCTCCTCCATTCTCCTTGAAATGTAGACACAAGAGATGGAAATAGGCAGCACCAGGAACTTCTAAGGTCCTTACCTGTCTTGCATAGGGATGAACTGATGCATTGTAGAATGATTTGGACCCGTGGTCTGTGCACATAGCATTGCTCCCCTCTGGAGCCAGTGTCAGGAGCCCATAAATAGGATCTGCCTGGCTTCATACGTTCATGTTATTACACTATGTAACAAAATGGTTCCTTAGGGTTCCATTTTGTCCCCCATGCTGTTTAACATATACATGAAACCACTGGAAAAGGTCATCTGGAGATTTGGAGTACAGTGCTACCTATATGCAAATAGCACGCAACTCTACTACTCCTTTCCACCTAATGCCAAGGAAGCTGTCCTGCCTATAGTAAGTAGTGGACTGGATGAGGGTACAAGACAGAGGTACCCCTGGTCAGTCAGAAGGCAGACCAGGGAATAGGGATCCAGCCTGTGCTGGATGGGGTCACACTCCCCCTGAAGACATAGGTTCACAGTTTGGGGGTTCTCCTGGACTCCGCATTGAACCTGGAGGCTGTTGTGTGCCAACTGTGCCCGTTCCTTGAGAAGCCAGATCTGGCCACAGGGATACATACCTTAGTTACATCCTGTCTGGATTACTGTAACATGCTCTACATGGGGCTGCCTCTGAAGAGTGCTTGGAAACTCTTAGCTGGTCCAAAGAGCTGCAGTTAGGTTGCTCACTGGGGCTGGCTACAGGGAGCGGCCAACCCCCCTGTTGCTGCAGCCCCAGTGGATGCCAGACTGTTTCCGGGCACAATTCAAAGTGCTGGTCATGACCTTTAAAGCCCTAGACGGTTCAAGTCCAGGCTATTCGGCCGACTGCATCCCCTTGTACAATCCTGCCAGGGCCCTGAGATCTTCAGGAGTAGTCCTTCTCTCGGTCCCAACTCCACCTCAAGCTCAATTGGTGGGAACAAGAGAACATGGCCTTCCTTCTCGCTGGCTGCCCCTCGACTCTGGAACTCCCTACCCAGGGAATGCCCCCCTCCTTGTTGTTCTTCAGGTGGCAGGTTAAAACCTTTTTAATCAGGCAGGCTTTTAAAGAAGAAGTTTTTTAAGATCGCCAGGGGCTGCTGTGGCGCTATAAGCTTTTCATCGTGTTTAATACTAGCATATTTGTATATTTTAAGTTGTATTGCAATGCTTTTTGTAGTGAGCCGATTTAAGTCTCTGTATGGAGAGAAAAAGCGGAATATAAATAATCATAATAACAACAATAATAATTTGAAAAATGTTCTGTTCCTGGTTTGAAAGTGTTATTCCTGTTTAACTGTGTGGTCCTTACTTTGAAAGTAGTTGTTCTACTCCAGAAACTCCATTTTTGTGGTTGCCACAAACTCTGTTGAATTGGTTAAGATTCTATGATGATATTCATTGAAAAACTAGATCAAAATGTTCTGCAGGATGGCCCTCCCGCAAAAACAAAGTTTTTCCAGTTTAATAAACTTTTTTCCATATTTTATGATAGAAACAATTTGGAAATGATATTTATAACATGGGAATAAAAATAGTGTTATAGCATATTGTTATTTTAAGCCTGACATACAGTTTGTAGGTTGTACAGTATGTTATTGTCCACTGATAGCCATACTGCTCTGCGCTGATATGTTTGGAATCTCTGCAGGATGTTTCTGCTACCATTTGTTAAGATCGTCATCTGCCAGGATCCTATGATTAGGATATATTCATCCTGTGGTAGTATACTATTACTTAATGTTGTTTAACAAAGGTACAAAGTGCTAATGGGGATTCAAGTATATTCTAGAAGCTACACGTTGAGGTTAATTTTTAGTATCTCATTACCTAGGTCCATGCAGATAGCTAGACAGGATGAGAGCAGATTTCTTTTGAGAATAATTCTCTGCTTCTAGAATATACGTAAATATGTGAATCCTGGCAGACCCTAATCCTAGGATCATGACAGACAGCCACAGTAACAACCTGCAGGAATTTCAAGAGGGTCTCACCTTTTGTTCAGCACCATGTTTCCCAGCTTCAGGTCTCTGTGGACGATGTTCTTCTGCAATGACAAAGGAGCGGTTTAATTGCTAAGAGCAAAGGAATACCAGAAGATAGAAAATGGCAAAGGAGAAGAATGTGACTAAACCTTTCCCCCCCTGATCTTCTCCAACAATGGTGTTTCTAGAAAATGGAACAAACCAAAGGTCCCTTGGCTGGTTCTGCCTACTGGGATGAGATAGATTGGCTGCTCTCGTGGTGCAGGGACAATAATTTGGTTCTTAACATCAATAAGACAATGCGGCTTGTAGTAGATTATAGAAGGAATGCACCAGAAATTCAGCATTTGGTTATAAATGGAAATCAAGTGGAGTTGGTGGCCAGTTTTAAGTTTCTGGATGCGATGTTAAGGAGGACTTGACCTTGGGCAGTGTTCATCCTGCAGCTGCGTTGGTTAAGAGGACCCAGGAGAGATTGTATTATCGGAGACTTTTAAGGAACCAACAACTGAGTGAAAAACTACAGGTGACTTTCTACCACTGTGCTATAGAGAGTGTTCTAACCTATTGCATATGAGCATGGTTTGGTAATTGTACAGAGGCTGATAGGAAGGTGTTCCAGAGAATTATCGGTTGCCCTCTCCCCTCTTTGGGAGAACTACCATTTTTGATGCCTTAAGAAGGCTCAGAATATTCTGTTTGTAAATTGTGTTGTTTATGTGTAGGTTTTAATATAAATGCTATTATATTATTGATGTTATGATTTTTATGTTTTATGCCTAAATGTTATTTTATGTTTTAAAATGGTTAGGTTTTTAATTTATAGTTACATGTTATTATCTAGCTATTATGTTTTGGTTTTCACATGTATGTACGGCATTGAATTTTGCCTTTATTATGTCTGAAACCGCTTTGAGTTCCCTCGGGGGAGAAATGCAGCAAATAAATAAATGCAGCAAATAAATAAATAAATAAATAATCTTAAGGGTCCATCTCACCTTGGATATTCTTCTTTTTTGAATGATTACCATCTGGCAGATGGTATAGGATGATAAACACAAGGATAAATAGGCTGATCGTTTTTCCTTAGAGCTGTGACTATATTGAACTCTTTGGTTTTACACTGATGTGGCATTAGGGGTTATGCAATAGTGATTAGAATGTGAAAGGATTGGTGCTTTGTTTCGTAATTCTACATATATAATGCATATTGGGGGTGGCGCTTAATTTCATTGCACAATGTACAATGACAATAAAGTTATTCTATTCTATTCTATTCAGGGCTTTACATCATGAGACGTGGCTTAGCAGCAAATAATAATAATAATAATAATAATAATAATAATAATAATAATAATTATTATTATTATTATAATATACCGTATATTTTGGCATATAAGACAACTGGGCGTATAAGACGACCCCCAAGTTTTCAAGTTAAAATATAGAGTTTGGGATATATTCGCCGCATAAGACTACCCCTCTTCCAATACACACCAAATAAAATTTTTAAAAGCATCAGATTTGATTTCAACATGGTAATTTTCCTATTACTGTACCTCCTTCTCTGCCTCTCAGATCTCGCACAGGCACACCTGCACCACTTCATTGCAGTCTTCAGGAGTGAGATCTGAGAGGCAGAGGAGGAGGTACAGTAATAGGATACAAGGGTGGGCCAGACAGGTAAAAGAGTTGTGTTTTTCTAGGCCCAGAGCCACTCTATAGCTTTTTTCAATACCCCGGGCGCCCCGGACGCAGCCACTGCCATTTTTGAGCTCCCCCCACAATATGCAGCAACCACAGATTCTCCAATCCGGATTGGAAGTTTCAGCACCTGTTCTATAAGATGACTCCTGGCGTATAAGACTACTCCTGCATATAAGACGACTCCCGCGTATAGGATGACACCTAACTTTTGAGAAGATTTTCTTGGGTTAAAAAGTAGTCTTATATGTCAGAATATACGGGTACTTTATTTATATACTGCCCTATATCCCCAAAGGGACTCAGGGTGGTTTACAACAAAAGTAATAGAGTGGCAAACATTCAATGCCAAAATGAACAAAGAACAAGTCAACTGGAGCCACAGAGGGCAATGATGAGGCCCTCCTAGCACAAGAGGCACTCCCATCAGGGCCCCTGCCGCCAACGTCCCTCTTCTCCACTTCAATCCTTCCCCCTTTGAGGACAGAGAATGGGTACCTTGTGCAGAGCCTCCACCACGCGCACCACATCGTAGAAGATGACCACAGTCTCCCTCTCGCTGAGGCGCTTCTCCTTGATGACATAGTGCTGGAGGTTGATGAGGTCGGCCGTCTTGTCGCTGAAGTCGTGGGCGCAGAGGCAGTCCAGCACCAGGCAAATGCGCTTCTTTACCTTCCGCACCAGGCGGCTGGATTCCAAGTCCTCCACCTGCTCACAGGCCCGGTCCTGAAGACACCAAGGGGTGGCAGAAGCGTCAAGGGAAGCAAGAGCACAACTGCCAATGCTGAACATGAGGAAGAACTTCCCAACAGAGGAACTCCGGTGGAGGCTCCTTCTTTGGAGGCTTTGAAACAGGCTGGATGTTTCAGCCTGTCGGGAGGGCTTTAACTGTGCTCTGCCAATATGGCAGAAGGGGGCTGAACTGGATGTCCTTTGGGAGTCCCTTCCAACTCTAGGATACTGAGATTCTGTTATTCTATGACAGGCTGGATGGCTGTGGGATTCCGATGTAGCCTCCTTCTCTGGAGGTTTATCAGCTGAGGCTGGAGTGCCATCAGCTAGAAGGGCTATGATTGTGTGTGTCTTTCTTCCTTGACTAAATGACCCTTGGGGTCCCTTACAACTTGAGGAGTCTTTGATTCTATAGCCCTATTTCTCCATGAGCCTGGTAATGTTTATGAGGCTGGGTAGCCACCTATTGGGAGGGTATGGATGGTGTCTTCCTTTAGGACAGAACGGGGTTGGACTATGGTCTTACAGAATAATAGAATTGGAAGAGATCACATGAGCCATCGAGTCCAACCAGTCTGCCAGGCAGGAAAAGCACAATCACATCTCTTCCAACTCTAGGATTGTACAACATTGAAGGCTTTTAAACAGAGGCTAGATGGCCATCTGTCGAGGGCGCTTTGAAGGTGATTTTCCTGCTTCTTAGCAGGGGGTTGGACTGGATGGCCCACGAGGTCTCTTCCAACTCTATGATTCGATGACAGGCTTGATGGCCATCTGTTGGGAGGGATCAGATGGTGTATTCCTGCCTGAAAGAAGGGGGTTGGCCTGGTTGGACTTCTGGGGTCCTTTCTATCTTTAGGATTCTATAGTTAGTGGCTAGCACCAGCCACACATTCACTATTTGTATAAGCCACCAAGCACCAGATGCTTTTTGCAGCATTCACTCTCACCAGCTCAACATGACCATGAAAAAGTCGGCTAGAGCCTTGACTGGAATCCTGTGCATTCAATCTCATGCATATTTGTTATCTAGACAACTGCTGATAAGGGACAGAAGGAGTTGCAGATTTGCTTTGAGAACAACTTGCTACCCAAGGCCATTCTCAGAATGGAGAAATGAGATCTTTTTGATTGCTTGTCCAATGAGGGAAAAGACCGGGAAAAGTGTAACAAGACGGCCTTTGGACCAATGAGGTTAATGCACCTGAAGTGTTTGAATGTAGATACTATAGATCTTGTAACTTTTTAGAAGCCATCAAATCCGACAATAACTTGCTGTGGCTGTCTGTGCTATACTTTCTGAATAAAACCTTTCTGTCTACATTGATCTCATTTTTGAGACAACAAAGACCTGCAGCTGACCCTTCTTTTTGGACACAACATAAGAGTCTCTATTCAAGAACCCCTTGCAATATGTCCAAAACCTTCCTCCAGCAGCTGCCAGACCAATGAGAACAGTGCTGCTGCAGTGGAAGGAGAAGAGAGCCATGTTTGGCTCTACCTCTTTGGTTGGGGGGGGGGGGGGGGCTACAGTCATGTGACTGTACTGAGCGTGTTCAGACTCAAGACTCAATTTTGTTATCAATATGCTTTTGGACTTCAATGTTAGCAGTTTCCTTTAGACCTCAGTGGAGGTGGATACAGTATGCTTTTGGACTTCAACCACCTGAGTCCCTTTCAGGAGAAAGGTGCGGTCTAGAAATAAGGTTTTTAAATTATTATTATTATTATTATTATTATTATTATTATTATTATTCAATGGAAGGAGATGTTTTTGGACTTATGCAGTAACAGTTTACTATATTTTTTCTTTGAGAAGCAGTGAGTAAAGTTTTTTTTTTTTGGTAAAAATAAGTTTAAAAAAATTAAAAGTATAAAAAAAGTTTAAAAAGAAAACACTATGTAACAAAAGAGTAAAGTTATACAGTTTCGACTTTCATAAGTTGTATACTTAAAGACTTTGGACTATGGGACTGTGACACAGCTGGCTGGGAGTCAGCTGCATTAAGATCACTACTGACTGAAAGGTCATGAGTTCGAAGCCAGCCCAGGTCGGAGTGAGCTTCCAACCAATTTGTGTAACTTGTTGTCGACCTTTGCAGCCCAAAAGACAGTTGCATCTGTCAAGTAGGAAATTTAGGTACCACTTATGTGGAGAGGCTAATTTAACTAATTTACGAGGCCATAAAAAAAATCTCCAGCAAGCATACGGGGAATGAGGAAGTACTTCATCAGTGTCACAAATGGACGGTGAAGTGACAGCTCCCCTGGTGGCCAGAATACCCTCATGTTAAATAGCCTCTGAGTGTCTGTCTATATATGTTGTGTGTCTATGGCACTGAATGTTTGCCATGTATATGTACATTGTAATCCGCCCTGAGTCCCCTGCGGGGTGAGAAGGGCGGAATATAAATACTGTAAATACATAAATATGGACTATTGATTAAGAATGATTCCCTGTGTTCTCAATACAGAGAAACTACGTCCCATCTGTAATTAGATCAATAAGAAATATGGCTGTATGCTGAATTAATACAAGATGTTCATAAGTAAACAAGATTTGTTACTTTTTAAAGAAGACTTTGTTTGTTTTTTTTTTGTCTCTGAGTGCCTATTTTAAACTAAGAGATTTCAAGGGAGAGTATATGTTTTGGGCAACTGCAATTTCAACCACAATTTTAAAGAAATGTTTTTAAAACTCTGCTAGCTAAGTGCAGTGGCATGTCTTTGTCCCTGGCAGTTCAAAGACATGGTTTATCAGTTTAACAGCTGAGTTACCTGTGTGCCATTTTACTATATTATTTTGTTATTGTTTAGCATTTCATTTGAGGTTTTATTTTATTTTATTTGATGTTGCTGTTTGTTGTATGTATTTATTTTGCCTTACTGTAATTTTTGGGCTTGGCCTCATGTTAGCCGCCTCGAGTCCCTTCAGGGAGATGGTGGTGGGGTATAAATAAATATGATGATGATTATTATTGTTACATGAATGCTTGTGAACATCACTTTTTAAAAGGGTTGACTTCTAACAAGATCATGCCTTTCCTTGACTAGTAATTTTCGAAACGTGGTCTCCAGATGTTCATGGAGATTCACATTTGCCAAAAAATTATGACATTATTTTTCTTTTCAAAAAGATTACGAATGCAATTTTTCCCCGAAACTTACTGGATGCACGTAACACTATGTAACAAAATTTCAAAAAAAAAAAATCTGTTCCTGGTTTGAAAGTGTTATTTACTTTGAAAGTAGTTTTTGTACTCCAGAAACTTCGTTTTTGTGGCTGCCACAAACTATGATGACATATTGATTAAAAAACTAGATCAAAATGTGCTGCAGGATTTCCATATTTTTATGTTAGAACTAATTAGGATATGACATTTACAGCCCAGGAACAAAAATCATGTTACATAGTGTAATCCCTCTCCACCAACAATTCGCCAAGCACCTGCTAGAAGCAGAGACTGAAAAGGTCATGGATCTCGCTTGGGCCAGATGTGGGTCACAAGCTACGTCCAAGTGACCTTTAAGTGTCAGAAAATAACAAGGAAATCATGAGGAGGTTCTGGTCTCAGGAGACCAAAGCATGTGGAAACAATTAGGACGGTTTTAGAGACAAAGATGTAAACAATTTGCTGGCTGAGCCTTTCCCAGCCTGATAGCTTGGCAGATGTACTAATCTGCATTTGCAATCACTCACCAGCGAGGCTACTGGGATGAAGGGAGCTATAGTCCCTCATGATGAGAAGATATTGGAATTAGACAGACTTCTGAGGATCAGTGGCCCATGCAATATTCTCCAAAGGCGAGCTGTTGCTGCCAACTTCAGAGCCCTGTCAGGACCAGGAAGAACTTACTTGGAAAAGGCCATGATGGTGGACCACACCATCCTGGTTGTGCAGAAGGGACAGGAGGGAATATTCGGTGTGGAGCAGCATCTTCCCCTGGCGCTCCTCCTGGGTCTCTGTGCCTTTGTCGCTCTTGTCTTCCAAGGTGAGGATCTTTGGGAAAGGAGGCAGCAAGGTCAAGTGGGTAGAAAAGAGTGGCCTCTTTCCTCAAGGAATCCAGAGGCCCAAGCTTCAAAACTAGGCCTTTCTGGAATATTATGGCTAGTTTTACATTATGGATTGTGAAAAGGGTTGCTCTATATCCAGGTCTACAAGGTGAAGAGCGAAGAGGAGGGATGAGATTTTTCTTCAATACTTCATCCTGACTTTGTGATCCAGAGTCTAAAGCACTGATGGACAGAAAGGAATGTTGGACCTTAAAGCCATTGAAATCTACAAGCATGTGGACAATTTCAACAGAAAGGAAGAAATCACGAAAATGAACAAAATCTGGCTACCAGCCAAGTTTACCTATCTGAACGTATTCTCCCCTGTGAACCATCAAGGCTGTTAAGATCTTCAGGAGGGGCCCTGCTCTCGGTCCCACCACCCTCACAATCGCATCTGGTGGGAACAAGAGACATGGTGGTCCACGCTCTGGTTACATCCTGAATAGGTTACTGCAACGCACTCTACGTGGGGTTGCCTTTGAAGACTGTTCGGAAACTTCAACTAGTCCAATGAGCGGCAGCCAGATTGCTCACTGGAGCATCGTACAGGGAGCATACCACCCCCGTTACGTCAACTCCACTGGCTGTCGGTCCATTTCCGAGCACAATTCAAAGTGTTGGTCTTGGTCTATAAAGCCCTAGACGACTCCGGCCCAGCTTACTTGTCCGAACATATTTCCCTCTACATTCCGCCTCGTAGTCTAAGATCTGCCGGGGAGGCCCTGCTCTCGGTCCCACCAGCTTCGCAAACGCAGCTTGTGGGGATGACGGACAGGGCCTTCTCGGTGGTGACCCCTCGCCTGTGGAATTTGCTCCCCAGCGAAATGAGATTGGCGTCCTCCCTCCTTTCTTTCAGAAGAAAACTGAAGATGTGGTTGTGGAACCAGGCTTTTGGCTAATGGATATAACGGCACCTGAACAGTGAATTGGACCAGACAGTTGTTATAATGGAAATGCCTTTATGATTGGATAACTAATGTTGTTTTAATGTATTATATTGTATGATTTTATTTTGCTTTTATAATTGTAATAATTGCAGCATCCAATCGTTGCCACTGTTAGCAGCTCTGAGTCCCCCTGTGGGGGTGAGAAGAGCAGGGCAGAAATGCTGTAAATAAATAAATAAATAAATAAATAAATAAATAAATATTCTGTGGTGGCCCCCCAGCTATGGAACTCTCTCCCGATTGAGATCAGATCTGCCCCCTCCCTCCTGACCTTCAGGAAGCTATGGAACGAGGCATTCCCAGAATGATAGCAGAGACTGGCAATTGACTAAAGTTATCGACCACATATGCAGACTGAGTGGGACATAATTTTATCTTGACGAACTGGCTTTTATGTATTTTAGACTATATGTATTTTAATTTAATGTTGATGTACGATGTTTTAGATTGTATTGTTAGCATTGAATCCTTGTTGTTAGCCAGTCTGAGTCCTTCTATGGAGGTAGAGAAGATCGGGATACAAAAGTTTTAAATAAATAAATGCCAGTATTAAAAACTGTAAAATTATAACAGTAAATAAAGAACAAAACTCAAACACAGGAACTACAGACAAGAAACAATCAGGAACAGCTAATCACCTCAGAATAAAGGATTCCCCCAGGCAGTAACAAGCCACACCTATTTTTATTTCGTATACTTCTACCCCGCCCTTCTCAACCCCAGGGCTGCTTACAAAAAGGCACATCTTGGTGCCTGCACAAATACAATAACATATAAAACCAGCAATTAAATGGTCAACAATTAAAAACAATTAAAACAACAATATAGGGTTTTGTAGGTCAAAACCAGCACTTTGAATTGTGCTCGGAACTGGATCGGCAGCCAGTGGAGCTGATATAACAGGGGGGTGGTATGCTCCCTGTATAACGCTCCAGTGAGCAATCTGCCTGCCTCCCGCTGGACTAGTTGAAGTTTCCGAACAGTCTTCAAAGGCAACCCCATGTAGAGTGCGTTGCAGTAATCTATCCAGGATGTAACAAGAGCGTGGACCACCGTGGCCAGATCCGACTTCCCAAGATACGGGCGCAGCTGGCACATAAGTTTTAATTGTCAGGTCATCAAATGCTAATCAATGTGGCCAGTTGAAATATTCACACCTGGCTTCAAGAGACAAGAGTTCTATCTCCCACTCTGGACTTTCCACAGATATATAAATCCAATTTTCCTAGTTTCCAGACCTCAAAACCTCTGAGGATGCCTGCCATAGATGCAGGTGTAACGTCAGGAGAGAATGCTTCTGGAAGATGGCCATACAGCCCGAAAAACCTACAACAACCCAGGACCTTAAATGAATTGTGGGTGACCATTTTACCCAGAGTCTTGCCAAAGCAAGCCAAGAAAAGTTGGCATTTGCTTCTATGAGATTAATGAGAACTACCTTGTTTCATTAGGCCTTGATGTGAGTGGGTTTGTACTGGTGCAGTCATCAAAACTGCCATGGTGCCATTGATTTTCTGCATGCATCTGCAATTTTAAACTAGGGTTTCTGCCACTATGAGACCCGGGATACATGTCTTGCTGCTTCAGTGATGCAGGAAACTTGGCCCAATTTTTTGCAAAAGGTTCCATCCCCCAAATTTCTTCTCCTCACTTTCTCCCACTCCGTCCCATTATCCTTGTAGACAAGATACAAATTGCAATGTGTCCTTTCTTCGGAGTAGTTCGAAAACATGGCAACAGGCCTGATGCTTACCTTGAGCTGGTAGAAGTCATCTGTCCCGTCCTTCCTGGCCAAACACTGGACGATGCTGGGCACTGGAGAGTTGCCCAAGCGAGGCCCTGGAAGCACACACAAAATCATCAGAATTGAATGGATTTACAGTGTATATTTTTTTTCATGGGTGTTCACATTGTTGCTTAAATATAAAGGATGTTTATGGTATTGTATTTCAACCAAATAGTTTTTGGGTGACACTGCAGGGTCTTTTTGAGGAATGGCAGCTCAAGAATGTGCCCAGGGATTCAACAACAACAACAACAACAACAACATGCAACATGATTTTTGTTCCTGGGTTATAAATGTCATTTCCTAATTGGTTCTATCATATGGAAAGGTTTATTAAACCACAAAAACTTTGTTTCTATGGGAGGGACAACCTGCAGCACATTTTGCTCTAGTTTTTCAATGAATATCTCATCAAGTCTCAATCTAGTTTGGGGCAGCCACAAAAACTGCATTTCTGGAGTAGAAGAAAGACTTTCAAAGTAATGACCACACGATTAAACAGGAAATAATAATAATAATAATAATAATAATAATAATAATAATAATAATAATACAACTTTATTTGTACCCCGCTACCATCTCCCCAAGGGACTCGGTGCGGCTTACATGAGGCCAAGCCCACAACACATACAATAAACAAAAGCAATAACAATAATCAATACAAAACAGTTTTAAAAAACTCAAAACAGAAAATACACAATAAGCAATAACAATAACATATCGCGACATACAGCATTTAAAAAACCTATGGCTGGGCCTAATGTAATAATTCAAATTTTAAATCAAAAAGTGCTGGGCATGAACAAGGTAAGACAAATTAAAATAGGATTTTCAGAGAAAGATGAGGGCGCGCAGACAACCCTAAATCAATATTAAAGTGCATTTGAGGATATATTGCTAAGAGTTTTCCTTATTCTGGGAAGGCACACTGGAACAACCACGTTTTCAGGCTCCTCCTAAAGACTGCCAGCGTTGGGGCATGCCTGATGTCCCTGGGGAGTGAGTTCCAGAGTCGAGGGGCCACCACCGAGAAGGCCCTGTCCCTCGTCCCCACAAATCACTCTTGCGATGGAGGCGGGAGCGCAAGCAGGGCCTCTCCAGAAGGACAAAGAGGTCATGTGGGTTTGTACACAGTGATGCGGTCACGCAGGTAGGCGGGTCCCAAAACGTTTAGGGCTTTGTAGGTAAGCACCTGCACCTTGAATTGGGACTGGAAAATGAATGGCAGCCAATGGAGCTCCTTAAACAGGAGGAGCACCAGTTAACAACCTGGCCGCCGCTCGTTGAACCAATTGAAATTTCCGGGCCGTTTTCAAGGGCAGCCCCACATAGAATGCATTACAGTAGTCCAATCTGGAGGTGACTAAGGCATGGACCACCCTGGCCAGATCTTTTGAACCAGGAACAGACTTTTTTTTCAAATCTTGTGACATAGTGTAATAATATCACCACATGGCAGGTGGAGCCATGGCTGCTGCCCTGAGTTTGCAAGATCTGAGTGAGCAGGGCTACCAAGGGCAGGAACTTTTAGCAGTTTTGCATACTTCAGCTGTAATAATGCAAAGCCCTAGACATAACATCTATTAAATAAATAGATGCCCTCCAGCTTCTCAATGTGACCATCTTCTGATAGCCACAGATGACTTGGAGATCATGTCGAAGCCATATAAATGGGAGCCTTTCTTAATCCAACATACCGAGGATGAAGGGCCCGGCCCGCTTGGCGGCGCTGTTGCTGGAGATGCCCAGGCAGAGTGCCTTGGCAGATGTCTCCCCTCCTCCTCCTCGGTCAGACACACGCCGTTTCATTCTGAGTTCTAGGAAGAAAGAGAGACAAGAGTTAGAGAGCTCTTTGTCAGAGCCAGATGGAGCATCTGTGCCTTCATAGGGATATTGGCAGTGACTGCCTAAAGAGAGCCAGGGGCCGTGAGCTGTGCCCAGGCCAAGGGATCCTGGCACAAACCAGTGTCCAGAGTGCTTCTAGGCTTCTTCTCATCCCAACTCTGGCAGTCCCATCAGGAAAAACAAACTTGCAGTGACTACAAAGCCAAAAACCACTTGAGATTTGAACCAGAGTCTTCCCCTTATGACCATTGTGGGGACCCAGAAAGAAGAGGTGGATTGAGAACACAGACGGAAAGCAGGGAAGGGGTTCTCATGTGCCCTGTGGCTTTGCCTAGAACCTGGGACTAAATCCTTCACAGACAACCTTATTCTGGACCAGGGTATTGTTATTGTTGTTGCTATTATTATTATTATTATTATTACAGGGAAAATCAGCTGATCCCTAATACATCTAAAACACAGACATGTGTTTTTCACCTTAAGAACAGACAAGCATCCCAAGCTCTGAGGATTACCTGGGAAGGAATCCCACTGGAGCATTGCAACACACCCAAATACCTGGGAGTCACTCTGGACCAAGCTCTGACCTACAAGAAGCACTGCCTAAATATCAAGCAAAAAGTGGGTGCTAAAATAATATCATACGAAAGCTGACTGGCACAACCTGGGGATCACAACCAGACACAGCAAAGACATCTGCCCTTGCGCTATGCTACTCTGCTGCTGAGTATGCATGCCCAGTGTGGAACACATCTCACCATGCTAAAACAGTGGATGTGGCTCTTAATGAGACATGCTGCATTATCACGGGGTGACTGCGCCCTACACTGCTGGAGAAATTAAACTGTTTAGCCGGTATTGCACCACCTGACATCCGCCGGGAAGTAGCAACCAATAGTCAAAGGACCAAGGTAGTGACATCTCCAGCCCACCCCCTGTTTGGGTATCAGCCAGCCCATCAACGACTTAAACCAAGACATAGTTTTCTAAGATCTACAGAGACACTCTCTGGAACACCTCAGCAAGTGAGAGTCCAAAAGTGGCAGGCTAATACCCAGAACCTCAATCAATGGTTGATACCAAATGAGAGACTCCTCCCTGGGCACACAGAAAACTGGGCGACTTGGAAGGCGCTGAACAGACCGCACTCTGGCTGTCAAGACCCAGGCACCACGAGATGCAGAGCCAACTTTAGGAAATGGGGCTACAAAGTGGAATCCATGACATGCGAGTGTGGAGAAGAGCAAACTACAGACCACTTGCTACAATGCAACCTGAGCCCTGCTACATGCACAGTGGAGGACCTTCTTATATTAACACCAGAGGCTCTCCAAGTGGCCAGCTACTGGTCAAAGGACATTTAATCAACTACCAAGCTTGCAAACTTTGTGTTTTGTTTGTTTGTTTGTTTTTAATGCAATACAACTGTTTGGTTCACTCCTGACACGATAAATACAGTGTAACAAAATTCAAAAAGTGTTCTGCTCCTGGATTGAAAGTGAAATTGTGCAGTACTTCCTTTGAAAATAGCTGCTATATTTTAGAAACTTCATTTTTTTCCTGGCTGCTATTTCAATGTGCACCTTTCAATGTGCCATTCTTAACCTTTTGTGCAGACCATAAAAACAAAGTTTTGCGGTTTAATCAAGTTTTTATGATAGAAACTATTAGGAAATGACATTTATAACCCAGGATAAAATCATGCTACATAGTATTATTAATGTCCCACTTTTATCTCTAGAATAAAACACAAAGTGACTCACAACAGTAAAAGACCATGCAATTTAAAATCCGCAACATGGAATTAAACATGTAAATAAATTAAAATCCATTAAAATGCTTGAAAACAGTTAAAATACTCCAACATCCAAAAGCACTCTTTGGCTCGCTCTTATCGACCTCCTGCTTTAGCAGGGCAGTTTCCTTGCTTTGATTGTTGGACTAGATGGCCCATGTGGTATCTGCCAACTCTATGATTCTAAAATTGACTCCAAGTATGCCCTTCACTTTTGGGCCCCCGCTGGCACAGTGGGTTAAAGCACTGAGCTGCTGAGCTTGTTGACTGAAAGGTCGCAGGTTCGAATCCGGGGAGCGGTGTGAGCTTCCGCTGTCAGCCCCAGCTTCTGCCAACCTAGCAGTTCGAAAACATGCAAATATGAGTAGATCAATAGATACCGCTCCGGTGGGAAGCTAACGACACTCCATGCAGTCATGCTGGCCACATAACCTTGGAGGTGTCTATGGACAACGCCGGCTCTTCGGCTTAGAAATGGAGATGAGCACCAACCCACAGAAATAGACACGACTGGACTTAATGTCAAGGGAAAACCTTTACTATGCCCTTCACATACGCTTCAGTCTGGCATGTCAGAGGGGTGAACTAGATGGCCCCTGGGGGTACCTTCCAATGCGATTACACTACGTAACAAAACTTGAAAAAAATTGCTTCTGGTTTGAAAGTTTTATTTCGTGTTTAATTCTGTGGTCCTTATTTTGAAAGTAGTTGTTCTACTCCAGAAACTTTGTTTTTGTGGCTGCCACAAACTCATTTGAATTGATAGAGACCCGATTCATTGAAAGACTAGAGCAAAATGTGTTGCAGGAGGTTTCTCCCGCAAAACCAAAGTTTTTGCAGTTTAATAAACTTTTCCAGGTTTTTTTAATACAACCAATTAGGAAATGACATTTATAACCCAGGAACAAAAATTGTATTACATAGTACAAGGTAATGACTCGCTTTACCAGAAATAGGCTTTCGAAACTCTAAGGGATTTTGAGGTGGATGAAGATGTCTGAGGCGACACAGGGAAGTAAGCAAGGAGACGTTCCCACGCTGCTCAGGCGGAGAGGCAGAGGAGGAGTCCATGAATCACTACTTTCCCCAGAGGCTCCCTGTTGTCAAACCCAAAACGTCAGCCACTGCTCTCTGCGTTTTGCAACAGAGCAGGAAAAAGCAGTGACAGTCCAGGCGACATGGGCCAAAGGGTGAAGGATCGCCTAAATTTGGGAATGTCTATATTTGAGAAGTAACTCGCTGAAGTGAACAACATCACACTGTTTTTAATTTCTGGGCATATGCCCATTACCTTCAGATGCTCTTGCAGGTCTACATCCCAGATTTATTTTATTTTATTTATTTAAAACATTTATATTCCGCCCTTTTCACCCCGAAAGGGACTCAGGATGGAGCACAGCATATATACGGCAAACATTCAATGCCAGGACATGAATTCATTATATGCATACATCTATATATATAAAAAGGGAAAGGGCGTTCAACGGGACAGCAAAACGCGAAAAAAACCCCAACGAAAACTCAACAAATTTGCCGTGCACATACCTCAACCCACAAGGTATGCACAACACTCATCAAAATTCCAAACAACATTTCAACAAACTCACAATTACAAAAACCAACTGAGCATGCGCAGTGCCCAGGGGAGGAAGTACACACGCAATGCACTCTGGGAACTGTAGTTCTAGAACGCGGCCTACCCGCTGACGCTGAAGCCCCGGCCTGGGAGTTGGAGCTTGGCCGGCTGGCCTCGCTGGGGGCCAGGATGCTGCGCGACCTGCGGAGGCTGCCCGGGAGGCCCCCACTGCGCGTCTTCCTGGCCCGGCCGGGAGAGGCCGCGGCCCGGCTCTGCCAAGGACAGCCCATCGGCCACCGCAACGCCCGGCCCAGGCTGCCCCCGCACACCGCCGTCTCGCTCCGCCATCGGTGAGGAAGGGGAAGGAGGGAAGGAAGCGGGAGAGGGAAGGAAGGATGGAAATGAGGGGAAGGGGTGTAAATAGCAAGGAAGGAAGGAAGGAAGGAAGGAAGGAAGGAAGGAAGGAAGGAAGGAAGGAAGGAAAGAAGAAAAGTGGGAAGGGGATGGGAAGGTGTAGGTAGGTAGGAAGGAAGGAAGGAAGGAAGGAAGGAAGGAGAAGTTGAGAAGGTATATGAAACAAGAAGGGAAGAAAAGAAAGAAGAAAGGGAGAGAAGGAGGATGGGAAAGAAGGGAAGAAAGGAAGAAAGGAAAGAAAAGGAAGGAAGGAGGGAAGGTGTATGAAGGAAGGAAGGAGAAGTTGAGAAGGTATATGAAAGAAGAAAGGTAGGAAAGAAAGAATACAGAGAGAGAAGGAGGATGGGAAAGAAGGGAGAAAGGAAGGAAGGAGGAAAGGAAAGAAAGATAGAAAAAAGAAGAAAGGGAAGGGGAAGGGAAGGTGTCAAAAGGAAGGAAGGAAGGAAGGAAGGAAGGAAGGAAGGAAGGAAGGGGAATTTGGGAAGGGGAAAGAGAGGAAAAAAGCGAAGGAAGAAGAGAAAGGGAGGGAAGAAAAGAAAGAAAGAAAAGGAAGTCTGGAAGTCAAGAGCGAAGGAAGGAAGAAAAGAGATAGAGAGGGAAGAAAGGAGAGAAAGAGGAAGGAAAAAAAGGGAGGAGGAAGGAAAGAGGAAGAGAAGGAAGGAGGAGAGAAGGAAAGAAAAAAGGGAAGGGAGGAAAGACGGAGCAAAGGAAGAAGAGAAAGAAGGAGAGAAAGAGGGAGGGAAGAAAAGAAATAAAGAGAAGGAAGGATGGGAGCAAAAAGCTAAGGAAGGAAGTAAACAGGTAGAGAAGGAAGAAAGGAAAGAAGAAAAGGAAATGAAGGAAGGACTGAAAGAAGGAGAGAAAGAGGGAGAGAAGGTTGGCCACAGAAACGCGTGGCGGGTAAAGCTAGTAAACATTAAAACCATTCGTCTAAATATTAAAATACACTATTTAAAACCATCAGATGCAGTGCTTCGTGGCGGATTGGGCGCTGTTATTCACCCTGCCCAGATTCAATGTGCTGCCATCAGCATTATTGCAGGGTATGTTTACAGGTATCCCCTACAATGAGCACGTATGCAATATGGTGTGCATGGAAACTGCCAGGCCTGTCCAATTCCAATGTCACTTCTATAATACAATATACTTCTACTAATAATAAAATGATATTATAATTATATTATATT